TCCATCCATCCACCCATCCATCCATCAATCCATCCATCCATCCACCCATCCATCCAGCCACTCACCTATCCATCCCTCCATCCTTCCCTCCCTCCATCTATTCATCCACCCATCCATCCATCCATCCATCCATCATCCACCCATCCGTCCGTCCATCCATCCATCCATCCATCCATCCATCTCTCCACCCACTTACCCATTCATCACCCATCCACCTATCCTCATTTTATCCACCCATCTACCCATCCACCCATCTACCCGCCCATCTGTCCACGCACCCACCCAGCCACTCACCTGTCCCTCTATCCATCCATCCATCCATCCCTCCCTCCACCCACTTACCCATTCATCACCCATCTACCTATCCATTCACCCTTCCATCTATTCATCTACCACTCCATACATCTATTGAGATATCCGTTCATTTATCTAATATTTACTGGGCCCCCATCACGTGTTAGGTACCATGTCAAACGCCATGGATGCCATGTTGGGCAAAAGCACATCCCATTTCTGTGTGCACGTGGCTCCCAGTTTCATGAGCTGGGCAGACGTTCTCACATAATCACCCAGAACAGAGGGAATGTTTGCAAACTGAGCTGACAGTCCGGAGAGGAAATGAGCATGGTTCTGGGACTCCTGACTGAGGTCAGAGGTCAGGGAAGCCTTCCCTGAGGAGGTGGCCCTCAGATGGAGATCCAAATGAGAAACAGGAGTCAGTGAGCTTGAATGGGATAGTGAGGGTGCAGGAAATGTTCCAGGCAGAAGGAACAGCACATGCAAAGGGCTGGGACGGTGCATTTGAGAGCCTGGCAGGAGGCCAGCGAGGGGAGTGTGGTGCAAGATGAGTTTGGCAAGGCCAGCAGAGCAGGGGCTTGGGGGCCGAGATGAGTTTGGATTTTACTCTCTGTGTGATGGGAATCATTGGCAAGTTTTTTCAGGGGCATGAGCAGGAGAGAGAGGATCAGCCAGGATGCCACCCCTGGACGCACTTGTCTTGTCCTACGCTGGATCCCAGAGTCTAGAAAGAGTGCCCGGTGTGGAATCGGGCACCCAGTAAACAGCCGGTGAATGAACGAAGACTGTGGCTGGCTTGTACTGGGGAGGCAGAGTGGACATGGGCGAGGGATGGACCCAGGAGGCAATCAGGAGGCATAGTGGCAGGCTGGGGCACGGCAGAGGCTTGGGGGTGGAGCTGACAGATGAGTGAGGGCATCCCTGGCAGATTTCTGATCTGCATAACGGGGAAGACAGCCCCTCCAGGAGTAATGAGCATCATCCCCACATTGTGCCCCAGAGGGGACCCGTGGTACAGTGCCTACCAGGCTTCAGGTGCATCTTACCAAGATGGGATCCGTGGGAATTTCTGCTAAACAAGGAATAACGGTAACAAAAATAACCACTGATACATTTCACCAACATTAAAACAGCCATCACCAAAATAGCCTATGCCATCTTCTACCTTTGTGAATCACACCTATTTGGGGTCAGAAGGGAAATTTCTTCATTTGATCAGTTACAAAAGCAGTGTACTCCTATGCGCATTATAAATAACTTACATAATACATAACATGCAGGAAATAGAAAGTGAGGGGTCTGCCTTCCCCCTGGAATCCCTCTCTTTGGAGATAATCATGCTTAACAGTTTGGTTCTACTTTTTTTTTTTAAAGATCTTTATAGTCTCCACCGCATTTAATCTCTGAACAAACCCTGCGTGGAGGAGCTAAGCAGAGACTATCAGCCCATTTTATAGATGGGGATACTGAGGTGCAGAGAGGGCAAGGCCAAGTCTAGAATCCCAGTCACTTGACACGCAAGAGTTCTCTTCCCTCAGTATCTGGCCCTCTGTGGCCAGCTGTGGCCAGCCCATTTCTGTCTGGGCTCTCAAGGGTATAGAACAGCATGCCAGCAGTTGACCAAAGCCATCGGCTTATATAACGGGAGTGACTCAGCGGACATTGAGACGAACAATGTCGGAAGGATGTGAGCAGTAACTTTCTGGAACGAGCCATTGTGTCACAGGTTCTGAGAGTCTTAGACATCTGGGGGTGGGGAGAAGGGATTTCCAGCAGTAGTTTCCCTGCAAAGCCTCAAGGTGACTTTTTTTTTTTTTGTCTCACCAGTCTGCTACTGACATTGGGCAGATCCAAGACCTACAGCTGCAGCTGGAGGAAGCCAAGAAGGAGAAACAGAAACTTCAAGAACAAGTATGTGTTCAGAGCCGCCACAGTGCGGAGACGAAAGGAAGGGTTCCCTCTGGGACCTCCCAGTTTGGATCCCGGAAACTGTCACTCACTCATTCATTCATCCATTCACTCAACTTTGGTTGTGCACCAAAGGAGTTGAGAACGATCCCAGCAGACACACACACACGCACACACACACACGCTGACTTTTGCTCATGCCAGTGTGGCATCCAAAGACGCCCTGTGCAGTGAAACTCATCAGCCATTCAGTGCAAGAGTTTCCCCCTCTGAGAAATGGTTCCAAGGGGAAAGGGATGGTCTGTGCAAGACAGGACCATTGTCCTTTGTGAAATCTTCCTTTGAAGCCATATTTCCTCCAAACGCCCCTGAATTTCACTCATTAGCTAGGGCTGCTATCATCCATGGGATTCTCAAAGCGCTTCTAAGGTCTGTCGCCTGTGCCTGCTTAGAGTTTCTGTCGAAATGACAGAACCTCAAGCAAATGTCCATGGGGATGAGTAATACCAAATACCACAAAAATAATAGCAGCAGTAGGCATCTGTTGGGTATTAATCATATACCAGGCGCTAATCGCCTTCAATCCTCAGACAAAAAAAAGGAAAGAAAGAAAGAAAGGAAAAAAAGAAAAAAGAAAAAGAAAGAAAGAATGAGCTCATGGAAGGGACCCGGCCTGCCCAGGTGCAGTGCTGCCCAGGCTGGAGAGTGGCAGAGCCTGGCTTTGAAGTCTGGTATATATGCTTGGCTCCCAAGCCCACTTTTGGTTGCGTCCTTGGGTGACGAAGCTCGCGGCTCACATGCTGGCTTTTCCCCCTTAGCAGAGCAGGGAAAGGAGGTAAGCAAAGCAGTGACTGAGTCTTGTGTTGGACGTGGAAGACACAGGAAACATCACCTCCAGCATCTGAGACGCAGGAGCAGGGTCTGGCATGAGGGGATCAGCAGTTGGCACTTGTGTCTTTAACATGTATCACCAGAGCCAGGAAGGAGGCCGTGGCAATGGGCCTGGGGCTGAGTCCGGCATATGTCTCCATTCTGGGACTCAGGGCCAGCAGGTGGCCAATGGATCTTTTGGGCTCGTTCCCAGCTGCAGGTGGCCCAGATGCGCATCGAGTACCTGGAACAGTCCACCGTGGATCGAGCCATTGTCAGCAGGCAGGAGGCAGTCATCTGTGACCTGGAGAACAAGACGGAGTTCCAGAAAGTGCAGATTAAGAGATTTGAGGTATGCGTGGACATGTAAATATTGCTCGTGCCTAGAGCCGTGGGGCTTTCGTGTAAGCTCCGTCCGTCCTCTGACCGTCCCTCCATCCACTCATGCCTTTCTCTGGATACACATTCCTCACCCATCTCTCATCCGTGTTGCTTCCCCCATTCCCTCCTTTCTGCCTTCCTTCAACCACACGGTCCCACAGATAACTATCCATCCAGCCTACCCACCTCTATGTATCTCCATCCACGTCCATATGCCATCATTCCATCCGTCACCCTCCTTATGTCTTTTCTTCCTTCCTTTCTCCATGCTTTCTTCTCTCCCTCTGTTCTTTCCCTTTCTTCAGACCTTGACCCCTCTGTCCGTGTTTTTATCCATTGGTCCCGTTCTGCCTGTCCCCATCTGACCACTCATGCACTCATGCACCCAACACTCACTTTGAGCAGAAATTTATTTTGCACCTAGCGTATACCAGGCTCTGTTTTAGGCACATGAAAGACAGATGTACAAAGCAGATTCTGCTTTTCAGAAACGTGGAGTTTTGGAGGAGATGTGAGAAAAATAGGTACATAAATACCCATAATATGGACAGAGGGCTGTGAGGTTTGGGGGGCAAGGAGGTCTTTTCAAGCTGAGGAATCAGGGAGGCCTCCAGGACGAGGTGACATTGATGCTGGACCTTGAGCAGGGCAGGCAAGACGTGGATGGGCTGGGGTGAGATTCAGTGACAACATTCACATTTAGCTCTGCAGGCCAGCGACATGGACGTCACCACTGTCAAAGTTGTTTGTCATTAGCCACTCCCCTGGATGTTCGCCACAGCCCCGTAGGGAAGGTAGGATAGGCCTCACCGAATGAACTACAAGGTGTCGGCAGAGAGGTCGAGGGACCTGTTCAAGATAAAGCCGTTTAGTGTCGGTGACAGGAGTAGATGGACCGGGGATCATCACTCTCCCCTGGTCCCAGGCTGTAATTTCTCCGTAGTCAGCTGGCTTAGCCACCGGACGATGGTCCATCTAGAAATGCGAGGCTGAGGCTGCGTTCCTCACTTTGAGCCATTCTTCCAATCCCCCATTGGGCACTTTGTCTCTAAGAAGGCTGTGTGCGATACATGAAGAATGGAGAAAGATCCTTCCTTGCCTTGACCCTCAGAGCTTCTCGGAGCTGCTCAAGGGATCCCTCGAGGCATAATTGTCTCTGCAGATCACCATGGAACTTTGATCTACTACACTTTAAGTTTATATAATGTCAGGCTATATCCGTTTGCTTGAATCTAGCATAGTCAAGCGATAGCAGAAAATAAAATAAAATTATGATTTTAAAAAACCCTTTATGTGGCAGATTCCATATCCAAATTCCCTTTCCCCTCTGCTGTTGTGACTTGAATTTAGTAGAATTCCAGGCCTCGGGGACACCTTTTGAGAACTATTCTTCTTCCTTTTAACACCCCCCCCCCCCCCCCCACCCTTTGAATTGTTACCAAACTCCATTTGAAAGGCGAAGGGCAATTGAATTGTAACGCTTTTCGGGGCTCAGCGTCTTGCTCAAGGACCTGAAATATTCATGTGGGCTCCCTTTTAGGTCAACACTAGAGTATTTGCCCATCAGAATCGATTGGCTGCAGGCATGTTGGCCAACTAATGAATTCTGCAAAACAGCACTTGGGTTTGTTTTCTGTAGCACTGGTGATGCCCACAGCTCTCTTCTCTCTATTTTTTCATTGTGTCCTCTTGGCTTTTCCCCCTGGAAAGGGAAAAATGCCATAAAACATTAGAGCTGAGGCTCAAAGGACCTTATCTGACCAAAACCTCCTCACTTTACAAATTGCGAGACCAAAATCCATACTGGGGAAGGGGTTTTGATTTCCCAGCGTAGTGTTCTCCCCACGGCACATCTTCGTAAAATGATGGGGGCTGCTGTAAATAGTAATAATTCCCAACTTTTGGGGCGCCTGGGTGGCTCAGTCGGTTGAGCTTCCGACTTCGGCTCAGGTCGTTATCTCGCGGTCCGTGAGTTCGAGCCCCGTGTCGGGCTCTGTGCTGACAGCTCGGAGCCTGGAACCCGCTTTGGATTCTGTGTCTCCCTCTCTTTCTGCCCCTCCCCCACTCACACTCTGTCTCTCTCTCCTTCAAAAATAAATAAACATTAAAAAAATTTTTAAATAATCCCCAACTCTTATCTAGAATGTTC